CTGGTATATCTGTTAAAATCACGTGGTAATTTGTTAGCTATACTGAACTTTTACAGCACCAGTGGTGACCGTGAGGTAACTGGTATATCTGTTAAAATCACGTGGTAATTTGTTAGCTATACTGAACTTTTACAGCGCCACTGGTGACCGTGAGGTAACTGGTAGATCTGTTAAAATCACGTGGTAATTTGTTAGCTATACTGAACTTTTACAGCGCCACTGGTGACCGTGAGGTAACTGGTAGATCTGTTAAAATCACGTGGTAATTTGTTAGCTATACTGAACTTTTACAGCGCCACTGGTGACCGTGAGATAAATGGTATATCTGTTAAAATCACGTGGTAATTTGTTAGCTATACTGAACTTTTACAGCGCCACTGGTGACCGTGAGGTAACTGGTATATCTGTTAAAATCACGTGGTAATTTGTTAGCTATACTGAACTTTTACAGCGCCACCGGTGACCGTGAGATAAATGATTCCATATAACTTAACGTTTTGCATTTTATTTAATCAATCACGTTATAAAAATTGAGTTACCTTCCTTTAAGCTCCGCTCCTGCCGACCGTAGTTGTCATGGAAACCTATAAGCAACAGCTTTCTATAGCCTTACTGCTATTACACATTTTATTATTACTTCCTGAATTACCATAACCTTAAGCAAGTCTCTTTTTTCCTATTAAATAGGCGATAAACAAGGAATAATTCAGAGCGACGCAAGAGATTTTCTCTGCGCTGGAGTTAAACATTACATACAGCGCCCCCAACCTCGACTCCGTTATCACTAACAGCTTAGATATATATGTAGATATACGTACGGGGCGAGCAAAACCCACTTCCAACAGCCGCCCTTCTCATTCGGGAGCAAGCGCCCGTTGAAAACGCAAGCTACCTGCGTGCTCTGTCCTTAATGGAGTAGCACAGCGTCGACCAAATGAAACAGCGTCGTCTAACTACAGACATCCCCATTCTCCACTTCTTCTTATACACTTCTCAAGTATAACGTTTTTCATAAGACTTGGAAATCCAGTAAATATCTTCCACATTATGTGTAGAGAGACGTTCAGGGTTTGAAGAGAACGTACGGTAATATTTCTGAGATAAGTATCGTCGTAGATTCAGGTTCAACATGGTAAGGAACATTTGGAAGACAAAGGAACATTTATGGCAAGTGATGAGCTTCTTAGGAATTTTAGTGACTGCTTTCGTAGGTAAGTTCTATTATGATCACTAAGTGTTCCTCTTTCTACCTTTGTGTTTGTATGTAGATAGATTTAAGATCACTAAGTGTTCCTCTTTCTATGTGTTTGTACGTGGATAGTTTTATGATCGCTAAGTGTTCCTATTTCTATCTATGTGTTTGTACGTAGATAGATTTATGATCACTAAGTGTTCGTCTTTCTATGTGTTTGTACGTGGATAGTTTTATGATCGCTAAGTGTTCCTCTTTCTCTCTATGTGTTTGTACGTGGATAGTTTTATGATCACTAAGTGTTCCTATTTCTATCTATGTGTTTGTACGTAGATAGTTTTATGATCACTAAGTGTTCCTCTTTCTCTCTATGTGTTTGTACGTGGATAGTTTTATGATCACTAAGTGTTCCTATTTCTCTCTATGTGTTTGTA